TTAATATCGATTTGGGAAATCAAACTGATTCAAATATCATGTTTCTAAATACAATGTTCAGTTTGGGTCTCTATCCTTTAATATCAAAACCAACAACAATCACAACACTAACTGCAACAGTGATTGATAATATTTTTACTAATGTCAGAAATGCAGAGGTGTTGAGTGGGCTTTTGACAACAGATATGAGTGATTATTTACCTGTCTTTATAAACATTATCAATGTAGCAAACCTGCAGTTAAAACAAATAAGATAATGATAATCATATCAAAAAAAGCTTTGGATAAATTGAGAGAGGACTTAAAAAACTAAACTGGCAGGATGTGTTTGTTGGTGACGTAAACAGAGCATATAATGTGTTTATGAATATTTTGGGGACTCTGTATGGAAAGAATTGTGTGCAAAAAAATTGTGCAAAGAGAGATGTTGACAAACCATGGACGACTAAAGGGTTAAAAATGCTTGTAAAAAAGAATAATTTGTATTTATGCTTCTTGAAGCAGAAGACTGATACAAGACATAAAAAAATAAGTTGGTATGGATTATAAGAAAGCATAAGAAGGAATATTATAGTGACTTATTAAATAAAAGTAATGGTGATATGAAAGCAACATGGCGAGTACTGAACAGGGTTCTGAATAATCATAAAGTGAAATCAGGTATTCTACAGTGTTTTGTAAAAGATAACAAGAAAATCCATGATCAAAGTGAAATAACAAATGAATTTAATCATTATTATGTAAATGTTGGTCCAAATCTTGCAGCAAAAATACCAAAAGTTGATAATGACGTGAGTCATACGGTTGTGTCAACAGCATCTTTCTTGGAGAAATTGATGGAGAAGAAATATTGAGTATTGTAAAAGAATTCACAGATAAAAGGTCAAAAGATTGGATTAATATGGATATGATGGTAGTGAAGGAGATAATTGGTTGTGTTATTGAGCCATTTACATATACTGTATATATGCAATTTTATATGCAATTATCATTTTCAACAGGAATTTTTCCAGATGACATGAAAATAGCTAAGGTAATTCCTATCTATAAGAATGGTGGAAAATATGTGTTTAACAATTACAGACCAATATCTTTGTTGCCACATTTTTCAAAAATTTTAGAGAAATTATTTGTGACAAGATTGGACCAATTCATCAAAAAAACAAAATATTTTAAGTAGTAGTCAATACCGGTTCAGAGCAAATAATTCTACAGCAATGGCTCTCATGAAATTAATTGAGCAAATAACCGCTGTTGACCAAAAGCAGTATTGTGCAAGCATTTTTGTTGATTTAAAAAAAGCATTTGAAACTATTGACCATAGTATTCTTCTCGAAAAGCTGAATCAATATGGTATTAGAGGACCGGCATTACAGTGGATATCTAGCTATTTGAAAGATAGGAAACAGTTTGTACAGATAAATGGATTAAGATCTGAACTTTGTAACATAACGTGGAGTTCCTCAGGGTTCTGTACTTGGACCAAAGTTGTTTATGCTGTATGTGAATGATTTGGTAAATGTGTCAGAGTTTTTCAAATGTGTATTATTTGCAGATGGTACTACATTTTTTTGTTTGGGTAAAGATATAGAACAGATGTTGGAAAGGATGCAAACAGAATTTGTTAAAATACAAACTTGGTTTAGACTTAATAAGTTGTCTTTAAATTTAGAGAAAACTAATTATATGGTATTTAGTAAACTATTGATGTTCCGTTTAGAGTCGATGGGATTGAGATTTGTAAAGTCAGTGAGGTGAAGTTTTTGGGTGTAGTGATAGATGAAGGGTTGACATGGAGACCTCACATAAATTATTTAAGAACAAAGATGACTAAATCTATTGCTGTTCTGTACAAAGTAAGGGAGCTATTTAATGAAAAAGCACTGTATATGTTGTATAATGCAATAATGGGTCCACACCTGGTTTATTGTATTGAAGTATGGGGCAAAGTGTGTATGACAATTACAAATCCTATTTTTTATTACAGAAAAGAGCTGTGAGAATTATTACTGGAAAACATTGTCGTCACCCATCAAATTCGTTATTTTGTAAATTGAAAATATTGAAGTTCTTTGATTTGGTTGATTTTAATATTCTACTGGTTATGTATAAGCCTAACAAAAATACATTACCTTTAAACATCCAAGTAAATTTTCTTAAGAGAAAAAGTTGTTATAACCTTAAAGGGACAGAGATACAGTATTTGTAAAACCCAAATTCAGAACTAGTTTGAAGGAACAGTGTATTTTAATTCAAGGAATAAAACTATGGAATAATTTGGGGAGTGATGTTAAAAATGCAGGATCATTGTGTACATTTAAGAAAATGATAAAAGCTGGATTGTTAAAGAAGTACGAACCAGTATAATGTGTATAAAGTGTTGTTCTAGAGGGATTAGATGTTCTTGTCTTTTGTTTTGTTAATAACAGATTTTTTTGTTATATGAACTTATTCTTGGGAAAAAAGGCGCAGATAAGATTTTTTTCTTCTCTCTGCTGCCTTTCATTTCTTTTTATTTGTGATTTTGATATACATACATATTCTTTTCTCATTTTTCTTTTTATTGTATATTGTATATAAAATTATTTGTTTTGTTTTAATGAAATGAATAAGTAAATTGAATTGAATTGGTTTTATTCATGAGGTCAGATTTGAACAAACACCAGGGGTCTCCCCCGTCCTCCCCCTCCTGCCTGGTCTGTTATCTGCAGCTGATCGTCTCACCTCCTCACACATCCCCACAAGCCTGCGTGCACGTGAGAAATACAGACTTTAAAAAAGTGGGAGAGGGGCGCGCCCTGCGAGTACCCAAAGCTTGACTTTTGCTGTTGTGCTGTTGAAATGTCTCTTGTCAGGGAGGGGTCTGTGGGTCAGGGTCGTCTGAGGAGGAAGGAGATGGATGGAGCTGCGGGAACTTTTATTTAAGATTTAAGTTTTTTATTTCAAAGGTCCTTCTGGCTCACCAGCAGAAGCATAAATTATACTGTTAAGAAAGCTGATGATAAAGCTGAATAAAAATCTAAGTTTGATTCTGAAGGTAAATTAAATATCTGACAGTGATCATTACACAGTGTGGCTCTAATTCCTCACTTCACCATCTGTGTCGCAGCTTCACGTCTCCAAAATGAGCATACGCATGGGTCAGAGCTGGCTGAGGCACCGCACATTTTCACATCAAGTTTGGATTTTATAAATCATGGTGCGTTCACACCGAACGCGATTTCAGCATCAGGAGCCTCAGGTTTACATACAAAGTCTATGGTGGACGCGCTTCAAGCAACGTCGGGAAGTGCTGCGGCACCTCAAGCGCGATTAGAGCAGCGCGATTTGAACGATTTGAACGATCTGAGCGTTCGACGCGCTGAGGCGCAAATCGCTGAAGTTAGAAAATCTGAACTTTTGCAGCTCGACGCGCCGCGTCAACCAATCAGAGAGACTCCACTGTGTGACGTAGCGACATATTTCCCCACGGGACATTTTACTGAATGATGTCCACTAACCTGAAACAGATGGAGAGGAGCTCTTTAGCTGAAATGAGTGCCTGCAGTCCGTGTCCTGACAGAGATATCCGCACCAATGCGTGGCAGTGACTCAGACTGGAAAAATAGTCCTGAAAGCGAGCTGTGAGCCTCTACTCTGAATTATCTGGTGAATTAATTATGAATTAATTATCTGATGAACGTGACATGCTCTTGCTCGCTGTAAATAAAGCAAAGCCACTTCCTCGTCCGACATTAAACAGAGCCCGACAGAGGAGGGAGGAGCGGGGAGGCTGTTGCCGTGCAGCGCTTCAAGAGCTGTCCTGCGTCTGACCTCAAAGTGCACGAGCGACCAACTTCAGCGCTGGCTGCGATTTTGAAGCTGAAATCGCGTTCGGTGTGAACGCAGCATCACAACCTTTGCGTGAAAAGTGGCGTACGCAAGTTTCTGGGCTCATTTTGTACGTACGCAAGCTTTATAAATCCGACCCCAGATCCTTTCGATCATGTCCTGATATGTAAAACCCCAGAACTGACATAATTTTCCAATGTCTCAAACTTCATGAGTTGGACCTGTTGAAAATTTTATAAAAATCTCATTTTACTGCAAAACAAATAAGCATTTTGCTGTTTCTTTCCATGTTGATGGTATAAAAAAAAAGTAGAACTGATGTTTTATTGAATACTCTCCTGATAACCTGAAAGCTAATATGTTTTAATGTTCATGGAGAACGGTTCAGTTCTCATGTTTCCAGAAGAATCAGAGGTATAAACCGTTCCCAACTAACTGGATTAGACAAGGAGATGCAAACAATGAAAACATTTACTATTTTTCTTATTAAAACATCAGTTGTTTTTTTAGATAACTGGACATTTGTAGCAGAGCCATTAGTCTGAAGAAACCTGCTAACTTTGTTCTGTCCAAGAACAAAAACCTCTGAGCTTTAGCAGCAACACTGTGGCTCATATCAAACACAATAAAACTGGTTATTTATGAGTTAAAGAGATTCTGTTCTGTAAAGATCTGAACAGAACCCGGCTAGCATTGTTTAGCTAGTCTTTATGCTAAGCTAACGAACCACACAGCACCCACACTCTCACCTTTCCACAACTCCTCAGCAGGAAAAACTTAAGAAAAAACATTAACCCTTTTAATACTTTGCCTTAATCTTCTCTGTGGCAGTTTCTGGCAGCACAACACGTGTCAGAAAGGTTTAGTTGTGTTTTTACAGGTGAAACCTGACGGACGAAATGACAAACAGTGACATGCAAAGGTCTGTGAACCCGTTAACGTTTCAGTGTTTAGTGTTTGATCTGGGTTTCCACTTAATCATCTCAGTCAATCTGGACCTGATGCACACCTTTCAAAGTAAACCAACTCATAAATAAATCAAGAAAGAAATTAAATCTTGCCCAAACAGCTGCAACAGAATGAAGGCCTTGACGTCCAGAAAATGTGCTGTCAGGAATTTCTTACTACGGAATGTTTTCACGTCTTTGTTTACCCAGGTAATAATAGTGTTCTCTATATAGATTCAATATATTTTCCTGCAGTCATAAAACATTACAGAAAAGTTGAAGCATCACACAAATACACAGACATTTAACACAACAACAGAGCATTCACTACATGTATTTCTTTTTTAAATACCAGTAGGCAAAGTAGCCCATCCCGCCCAGTGAGCCCATGAGAAAAGATGCTCCAAAGAAAGATGGCGGCTTCTTTTTTACCATTCGGAAGGCGTTGGGTAGGACTGCAGACAGCAAGGTTGTGTGGATATCGCCCAAGACCTTTCGGAAAGCATAGCGTTTTTGCACTCGCACAAAAAAGGACTGCAGGTTGGGTCGGCTGCCGTCCTCCCAGTATTTCTTAGAAAGTCCCAAGAACTTGAGCCTGTGCAACAAGGCTCCAAGGCAGATATCAGCTAGTGTAAATTCAGGTCCACAAAGCCACAACTCACACTTCTGACCTGTAAACAAACAACAAACAAGAATCCCAACAACAACAACGCAAGTTTTTTCCACTTCTGGAAAATGCTTGAGTCCTTCTGATGTGGACGTACCTTGATACTCCAGTTTCCTTTTCTCCAGCTCTGCCTCCACCTGATCCAGAACCATGGCTAACTCCCCCAGAATTTTCTTCAGGTTGTTCACATTATCATGGTCCAAGATTTTTGTCTGGAAACCAAAAAACAAAGTCAAATTTCAAACAGCGAAGGACTTCAGTACAAAGGATGAAATCAGAACTTCATAGATGAACAGATGAATGTTTAAATAAAAACATGATACATCTGAGAAACATGTTTAATCTGAACAGCAAACAAAAATACTTAACCTAATATAAACAATGAAAATAGTATTTAAGCTGCCTTTGAATTAAATAAAGTGTATTTTGTAACAATATACCAAGCTAAAGAGTTGTGTTTTTGCAGTAACGTACATCACTGTCTGCATTTTAAATCATAGGCCATCTGATATCACTCAGAATATCCTTTGGAAATGACTCTCTGCTACTACCACACCACACTGCTCAATATCTGGACGTAGTTATTTACTTTTTATGTTTAAGATCAATTAATAACCACTGCCTATCAAATGTTTCTTGATTTGTTCAGAGAGTCAAAGTGAGGTCAGTGTGTTTTCCCACTTCAATTCAATTCAGTTTATTTATATAGCACCAAGTCGCAACACACGTTGTCTCAGGGCACTGTCCATGAAAAAAAGAACAGTCTAAAGAAGAAACCAGCAGATTGTGTTGAATCACTTCATCACAGTCTCCCATCCTGAGCAAACGGTGGAGAGGAAAAACTCCCTGCTAATCAGGAAGAAACCTCCAGCAGAACCAGGCGCAGGACAGGCGGCCATCTGCCCTGACCGGCTGGTTGGAGGACAGGAAAGAGACACAGGTAAACACAGAAGAACTGGTCCAGGTGCACCTACTTCTGGAAAAGAGACAAAAAGAAAAAACATTTTGTTGATACAAATAATTACAATAAACATATAGAGAAGAGAGAATAAAGAAAACAGGAGTGAGGAAATGTGCTCAGTTTGTGCTCCAGCAGTCTAAGTCTATAGCAGCAGAAATGAAGAATAATTCAGGAAACCTAAGTCTAACTATAGGATTTATCAAAAAGGAAAGTCTTCAGTCTAATCTTAAAAGTAGACAGAGTGTCAGACTCACGGACAGAAACTGGAAGTTGGTTCCACAAGAGAGGAGCTTGATAACTGAAAGCTCTGCCTCCCATTCTACTTTTAGAAACTCGAGGAACCACAGGTAAACCTGCCGTCTGAGAGCGAAGTGCTCTGTTAATAAAATATGGAACACAAGCTGCGTTTCCATTGCAAATGTGCGCAAAACTTTGTCGATATTCTGTTAATGTCGAAAAACATAGTTTTGCAACTGCAGTGTTTCCATTAAGTAAGAAATGCTAAGTTACGCGTGAATACGTTTGTTCTCGCAATAAATGATTACAAACATGGCGGCAATGGATGTAAACACATAGCATAATGCTACCGCGACACTAGCGCTCATCATCAGAGGAGACGTTGGCGTTTTTTTATCGAGGCTTTCCAGCGACAAGCCCCTACTTGGGAGCGGCTACGTATGCTGTGTTTTTGGGAAATTGTAGTCGGTGAGTTTACTATTTTATACTACTTCTGTGATATTACTACTATTTCTACTCCCTGTTATCTACTTCGTCATCGTCTTTTTCGCCAGTAGAAACAGCCAGTTCTTGATCACATGACTCCTGTGATGCAAAAAAAGTGTTTCCATTGTAGTTTAGCAAAAAACACAAATTTTGATATGGCCGAAATACCACCTCATCCAAGCGCGAAAACATTTTGTCGAATAAAGTAATATTTTTCGAAATTGCCGTGTTTCCATTGAGCAAATTTATTTTCGAAATTCTAATTTGCGCATTTTCACGGTAAATGGAAACGCAGCTATTAAGATGTTTAATATATGATGAAGCTTGGTTGTGCACAGAACCACAAAGCATTTCTCTTTTATAATCTGTTTTTGTTTGTTTTTCACAGATGTGGTTCAATGAAGCTCAGTCCTCACATCAAAGATGACAGAAACTCACCATTAGTTTCTTCTGCTTGGACAGGTAAGGTTCTGTCAGCTGAGGCTCCTCATGGTCCAACTTCATCAGCTCAGTGGCAGCGTTAGCCAAGTGTCCTGAAATTTTACACACCACACATAAACACAGTTAACTGTTCCTTTGGTTGTTGAGACAGAATCAAGTATTTTAAACAACGTTCTTCAACCACTGTGTGCTGAATGTGAGAGCAGCGGCGGATCAGATGATAGAGCTGTGGCCTCGCAGAGACAAGGTCCCAGTCATTGGTCTGGATTACTGGACTGGACATCATTACAGGTGCCATTACTGTGCATTGAGTCAGGACACAGGAACATCCAGAGATGTTGTAAATGAGATGCAGCAGACAGTCAAGCAAGGAATATCGAAAAGGGCACAATGTTTTGTTATAAATTGTCAACACTATGACAACAAGATTAAAACATTAAAGTGTATCACATTTAACAGGTCATTAAAAATATTTATTTTTTAAAAATGGCAGAGATGCAGGAAGTAGGTCAGCTATGCAGCTTGATTTTGACAATCTTATGTTGGGTAAACCAAATACATGTATGGATATATTGATGGGTAAACCCACTCAAATATAAATTTGCTGTCCAACAAATTATTAAATATTTTTGTACTATTGTTTTCATGTTAGGATAATAGTGTGAGAGGTTGTAAATACCATGTGCGACAGTAAAATTACTTTTACTACCAGCCTGTGTGTGTGTGTGTGTGTGTGTGTGTGTGTGTGTGTGTGTGTGTGTGTGTGTGTGTGTGTGTGTGTGTGTGTGTGTGTGTGTGTGTGTGTGCGTGTGTGTGTGTTGTCTTCAGTGGCGCATGCATCTGAGAGACATTTCCACCTTTACACGTCTTTAATAAATATTTATTTAATAATTGATGTGAAGAAACGAGTCGCAGTGTTTCTGCTGCGGTGTGATTTATATTTTAGAATCATGAAGTCTCTCATTCAGCTGCATGACTCTGCTCAGAACTACAGTCAAATACCTGATTGTAATTTGTTTGGTGTGACACCAGAAAACACACCACTCTCACCCCGGATTTATACTGCATGCATCTCCGCTCCGCTCCGCTGCGCTGTGCTGCGCAGGTCGCAGCTGTGCATTTCAAGTCCAGTTTACACTGCCTCCGCTCCGCTCCGGTCTGACAGACGTGCAGGAAGGAGATCGCGTGATAAATTCAGTGATAAATGTGGAAGTCAGAGCAAAAAATCATTAATTCTGTGAAAGACGAACTCCAAACACAGCTGAAAACGATATTAAGGCTTTTGGTATCTATGTTGAAACTGTCTCACTGTCGGCTTTCTGAAACTTCTGATTTCAAAATAAAATCCACGTGTATCGTGTGTGTACACATAGCTTCATGCTACATGTTTCCATCTGCTTCCCAAACAGAACGATACATTCTGACAGCATTTGTGTAGAAATATATCCATATATTTATTAATGTAGCTGCAATTTCAACACTATTCTGACAAATTATTCTGCCGAATAGTGTCTTATTTTGAAAATACGGATGTTGTGCTCGTGTCTTTTCCTGTTGGTGCGACGCAATCTTTAAAAATTGACTCCGGCACTGCTCAGTCGTCCAGCAAAAATAGGATCTGTTCTAATTTTGACGGATCGCCGTCCGCAGCCAGTGTAAACACTCTCATTGATTTTAATGGGTGCGTATTTGCTGCAAAGGTTGGACCGGAGCGGAGCGGAGCGGAGACGGAACACAAGCAATGTAAATTGGGGGTCAGTTCTTCTTGTCATGTCCTCCTGCAGCACAACAGCTGACACTGTTCCATAAATTACACACAACTTTATGCAGCTTTTTATGAACAAATCTATTGTTTGCATCTTGTGGAGCTGAGGAATCATCACAGCTGAGCTGTTCTGAATTAATCTGCTGAGTTGACAAAGTTTTTATTCTCAGTGAGAATTAATGTTTCTTAGACAACTCACACATTTTATTCTCCTCAACTGTCTCACAGGTGTGTGCTCCCTGATGTTTATATCTACATGACAAAAATTAATTTTGACATCTAAAAAAATTATATATATATATCTTTACAGTTTACAGTGGGCTGAGGTTGTTTTGATCATTTTTAGGCTGCTCTGTTCAATTTCATCTTTCAAGTTTAAACAACTGAAAAACTCTCCTTACATCCAGAAAACAGAACAGAGTCATATTCCTGTGGATTCAGGTCAGATCCAGAACTTTGTGGGTTAAAACTGCCGATTGAAAAACTTTGAATGGCTGTCCGCACAGTCTCACTACAGGTGAAAAATATGCATATATTTGTGCACCCTTTCACACACTGTTGGAGTTGATACATCCTGACGTGTGCGTGGAACCTGGTACACGCAACTTTTTTATGCGTACGCACCGTTTATACATGAGGTCCACGCCTGTCTGATGTCAAGCAGCTTCAGTGTCTCAGAGAAAAACTCATCAAAGCCTGACAGCAGGCCCTTCAGCTGGTGGAGGAGCAGCTTAATGTCAGGAAATCAGCAACAGAAATCTCAAACATGGTCCATTTAAATTCCATGTCCCCAGTCCCCCCTGGGACAGGGACAGGGGCTCAGCCTGACGATCCCAGTGGACCCTCATGTGGATTTAGGTCTTCTATCAGTCTTGGATCAGATGCTGATGATCTCTTTTTTCACCAGAGTGTCATAAAGACACAAGACCACCAGTCTGATGATACGACTACAAACTGATCAATGATCTTTGGTCCAAAGTGTTAAAGGCACAGTGTGTAGGATTTGTTGTTTTCAGTGACATCTAGTGGTTGAGTGGTTGAATCATCTTCCCTGGTCCTCCCCCCACCCCCACCCCCTACTTCCAAACGCAAAGGAGTTGCTACGGTGTCTCTCANTACACACTGTGCTTTTAATTCAGTTTATTTAACAGAATTAAATTTAACTGTCACATTGTAGGAACCAGATTTACTAACTGACTACAAGAGGTTTGCTGGTAGAAAAAACCCTTAAATATGTAATTAACAAAGCCACTAATAAGTCTTTTTAAAAGTGGACCTGCTTGCACTTTCATTCAACATCCTTAAAATAAAGTGCGGCTCTTATAGACAAAAATCAATGAGCTTTGTTCTGGAAGAGAAGGCAGAGTAATAAATATTAATGGCAGCACCGTGCAGCGAGCTGCATCACTTACTACGTATTTCTGCGGTGGCGTACTTTGGGATCATAGAGTCAGTGGTGAGCTCTGGGTGGAGGATGCAGCCGTGTGTGTAAGCGTCCATTGGCAGTCCATCCAGCAGCTGACGGTACTGCTGCACACGCTCGGACAGAGGCGAGTCCACATCAGGAACCAGCTGAGCCACCGTGTCTGCCACGAGGACACACAAACAGGAAAATAAAACAGCTTCACTCTGGTTCAAATCCAACAAACTGTGAAGAAATAAGACAATTTATGTTTTCATTCTTTTCATACAGTTGGATGACTGGAGATTAAAGCTCCATCCACACCTGAAAGCTTTTCCTTCTAAACATGACATCATTTCTAGAACTATTTTCAGAAATGATCCAAACTCTGCCAGGCCTGTAGGTGGTGCTGTAACCCCTGATCCACCTTCCTGGTTCACTCTAACAAGCTCATCCAGAGAAGGAGATCGTTTGATAATAACTGTGTTGTAGGAACCTGACCTGTGTTTCTGTATGAGGGAGTCAGGGGTGTTGGTGGAAAATGACTGGATGAGGTGCAGGACAAACACAAGGACAGTGAGACGAAGGTGAGACGTGCAGTAAGGGTGACAGATGGGTTCAGGGTGGGGGTGGGGGTGGGGTTACAGCAGTGATCAGCTCCTTTCGTCTGCAACAGGGATGGAAATGGGGACGGATGAGGTCAGGCAGGATGTGTAGGGAGCAGGTGGAAGAGAGGCTGGAGAGGTGGAGTAAAGTTGGTCGCAGGAGAGAATTAATGTGTGTGAACGAGAGGAAGACAGGTGGAACAGAGAGGCTGCAGGGAGCAGGGGTCCTGAAGACCCGGGATCAACCAACCGAAGCAACGAGCCAAGCATGAGAGAGGTGCAGGCTGGGTGGAGAGGATGGAGACGTGTCAGCGGTGATTTGTGACAGAGTAACGGAGTTAAAAATATACTCTAAAATAATCTGTTACCCCAGTATTTTCATGTTTTTGTGAATTTAATTTTATTGAGGTCTTTTATTTTGAAAAGTATCAAAGCGGAAATGATGTGTGCACTTTGCTCCTCCAATCATTTCGTTTGCTGCTGAGCACTGAGGGTAAGAAGTGTGGAAATGTTGCTGATGATATTTAATAATTTTCATTGAAATTCCTACTATTTAGGCTGTGCACTTTTGGTCATCCTGTTGGTACAGTATACCATTTTACAACATTATTGCAACTTTTATTTTGCATTTTGACCGTGTAAGTTTTGTTGGCACTTCATTTCCTTTTTGAGAGCTAGCTTGGCTCCATCTTTAGTTTAATGCACCCTCTAGTGGACAATGTCTTTAATAGCAAGGGCGTGCCGCCATTTCTTTAAGTAATTTTTTTTTTGCACATGTAGGAGCCAGAAGTGCAGAAAACAGAAGACAAGTGACTTGTTTGTTTTATTGTCTTATGCAGATATGTGATGTTTTTATTCATGTAAATGAATGAATGTTAGCTTCTTGTTGTTCTAGACTGCCCAGTAGATGGTGGTGTTGTTCTTTTATTGCACTGTTTTTATTGTATTTTTAGAAAATGTTGTGTTTTGTTACTTTAAAAGAAAAATTTTACTTTTCTGCTCTGTAACCTCCAAAATGAAGCATACCTGTTAGATATTGCGAGACTCACTTTGCTGCTGAGCACTGCTTGGAGCCAGAAGTGCAGAAAATAGAAGACAAGTGACCTGTTTGTGTTATTGTCTTCTGCAGGAGAGCAAATAAACATTGGAGTAACAGTATTCTGATGCTCTGTTGTGTGTCCAAAAACAAGCATTGTTACCAGTGTTGCCAGATGGGAAATGTTGAATTATCGTATCAGCAGCTCGAAATTACTGTATTTTGAAGAAAATTATCGTACACACCCAATTTGCATTCTAGAG